GGGGGGGAAAGGGAAGAGGGGAGGAGGAGACAGCTCACAGACACAGTCTCATTCTGAGATTTCTGGAGGCATGGTCACCATTTTGTACTGAGGTAGAGGTAAGAGCCAGTGACTGGCTGTTTTGCTTGCTGACCTTCAGGATGAACCCAATTTCTGTCTCTGGGTTTTATTAATCATGATATAAGTAACTTTTTATATGCATGTACAATGATTTCCTCTAAATTGAAATATTCCTTCCTGGAGGAGGGAGTCTCAAAAAGCTCCAAAGTTGAACACAATTTACAAGTTCAGTTGAAGCAAGATTTCTAAGCTTCCAGGTTACCCGCATCCCAGGCTATATAAGCAGGGACTATTGCCAGGGGAAAGAGTTCACGGCCATCAGCCATGCAAGTCCTGCAGAGAGCTCCAGGAATGCAACCATGGATGCATCCATGCTGGGGTGGGCTTTTCTGTGCTGCAGCTGCCTTTGAGTCACCTATCCTCCTGCACATGCTGCCAATGAACTCAGTTTCACTAAGCTAGGTTTGAGTGAAATACTTTTTTTTTTTTTTTGGCTTGTTGGTGCTCTGGAACCACTGGGCGGGGAGGGGGGCACACATCACACAACATAGGAATGCTATTACCTTGAACATGGATTGTGTGATTGATGATGCTATCTTTCACTTTACTCCTCTCCACTTAACCATAGATATTTAAAAACTTAATTGCATGTATCCATTTGCATGTGCGTATGTGCATGGACTTACTCATGCCACAGTGCATATATGGAGATCAAAGGACAGCTTGAGGGAGTCATTTCTTTTCATCCTGTGTGTTCCGGGAATTGAACTCAGGACCCCTGATTTGGTAGCAGATACTTGAACCTGCTGAACCATCTGGCCAGTCCCCTTAACAATTTATTTGTTTAACTGAGCACGATGGCACACAACTTTAATCGCAGCACTCAGGAGGCAGAGGCAGGCAGATCTTTGTGAGTCTGAGGTCAGCCTGGTCTACAGAGTGGGTCTGAGGATAGCTAGAACCATGTAGAGAGACCCTGTCTCAGGAAAAAAAAAAGCAAAAACAAGTAAAAACTATTTTTTAAAAAATGTTTTTTACACTGTATTCAGTATTGGTTTATTTGTTGTTGCACATGTTTTTATTTTAGACATGTGGACACACACACACACACACACACACACACACACACACACTTCTCTGGTTGGTCTGTGGTATCCAGGACACTGTGCTAGAGAACTCCAGGTCATCATCGATGGCTCACGGTACCTTTTTTCAGCATGACAAGTTTATCTTGCTTTTCTCTGAGTCTCCTCAGAGTGCTCCACTTCTTCATCCTCTCTTTTTGTCTACAAGTCCCATCTAACTCTGCCTGTCCAAGTGTATGTCAATCATCTCCTTTATTAACCAATGAGAGTAATACATATCTATAGTGTTCAAAGAGATCATTCCACAACAACTTCATAAATAGTTTAAGCCTGGGGCTAGAGAGATGGCTCAGCGGTTAAGAGCACTGACAGCTCTTCCAGAGGTCCTGAGTTCAATTCCCAGCAACCATATAGTGGCTTTGCAATAATGAGATCTGGTGCCCTCTTCTGGCCTGTAGGGACACATGCAAGCAGAACACTGTATGCATAATAAATAAATCTTAACTATTTTAAGCCTGTAGTTTAAGTATATGATTAACTGAACTTCTACTGTGAAAATATATTAAACCCTTATGTAGAAGGTAGTCTGTGATGCCTTGTATCAGGGTCCCCAACAATGGACCTCATATTTATTATTGTTTGTTTGAGACAAGCGCTCACTCTCTTACCCAGACTTGTATTTCTGGGCTCAGAGATGCTTTGCTTGTCCTCCCGAGTAGCTGGAACTGTGGACCTGTGCCACCACAGGTGAGGCTAAGCAGATAAACTTAGAAAGATTCACATTAGAAGAAAAACAATTACGGAATGGTTGTTGCAGTGAATTATGCCCCTTTCAAAATCATCCCCAAGTGTCATGCTTTCGGGATGCACATGCCTTTTTCCTAACCATTTTGTACTATTTTTTTGTTTTGTTTTTTTCAGACAGGGTTTCTCTATGTAGCCTTGGCTGTTCTCGAACTCACAGAGATCTGCCTGCTTCTGCCTCCTGAGTGCTGGGATTAAAGGAATGCACCACCACTGCCTGGTTACTTTCCTTTTCATTAAAAAAAATACCTGTGTTTTTGTCTGTGCACCATGTGTATACCTAATGTCCTTGGAGGTCACAAGAGGATAATGGATCCCCTGGAATTGATTGCTATGAAATGGTGCTGGGAAATGAACTTGATCCTTTCAAGAGCAGTCAGTACCTTAACCATTGAGTTACCTCTCTAGTTCCTTTTCTTTTCTTTATTTTTCATGTAGCTCTAGTTGTCCTGGAAATCACTTTGTAGACCAGGCTGGCCTTGTACTCGTAGAGACCCTCCTGCCTCAGCCTCCTGAGTGCTGGGATGAGAGGTCCCTTTCTTTCTTCGATAGAGATTATCATTTACCATATGGGATAATCTACCTACACATTGATGTTGCTTTTTTGCCTGTTTTCCCCTGAGAGAATATAAGCTCTAGGAAGACAAGAATCATTGTTAGCAAATACCAAGAGTTAATAACAGAACTTGACATGTCTTAGGCAGCCAAGTATTTATTGATCAAGTAAGTGAATTACTAGAGACAAACTCTACAAATGAAGGACCCCACTAACTTAAAGCACTGGCAGTAAGAAGTCAAGATCACGGGCAGAAAGTGAAGTGCCGATTGCGAAGGAGACTGCTGCAAAGAACTGTTTAATAGTTGCGCTTATTTGGCAAGATGTACACTTCTGGAGATGTGTGGTGGTGAGGGTTGCCCAACAGTGTAAATGTGCTTATCACTGTACTGTGCACTTTTGTGTGTGTGTATGTGTGTGTGAGAGAGATGTGCTGGTTCTCCCCTTCCACCTTTAGATGGATGCTGGACGAGCCATCATGCTTACCTAAAAACTGCACCTAGGAATGGCCGATTTTAAAAAGCTAATCAGGTCGGGTGGTGGCGGCGCACGCCTTTAATTCCAGCACTCAACAGGCAGAGACAAGAGACCATCCTAGTCTAGAAAGCAAGTTCCATGACAGGCTCCAAAGCTACACAGAGAAACCCTGTCTCAAAAATTCAAATAAACAAATGAATAAATAAATAAATAAATAGTTAATCAGCACATTCTAGAGAACAGGCTCTTGTGAATCTCTTTTTTTGGTTTTCTTTCTTTTTTTTTTCCCTCAAGATAGGGTTTCTCTGTAGCCTTGGAGCCTGTCTTGGAACTAGCTTTTGTAGACCAGGATGGCCTCGAACTCACAGAGATCCACCCGCCTCTGCCTCCCGAGTACTGGGATTAAAGGCATGGGCCACCACCGCCCGACTGTTTTTTTATTTTCTTAAGACAGGTTCTCTGCATTGGCACAGGGAACCACTTCCTAAATAGAACCCCAGCAGCACAGACACTGAGAGAAACAATTAATAAATGGGACTTCCTGAAACTGAAAAGTTTCTGTAAAGCAAAGGACATGGTCAACAAGACAAAACGACAGTCTACAGAATGGGAAAAGGTCTTCACTAATCACACATCAGACAGAGGGCTGATCTCCAAAATATACAAAGAACTCAAGAAATTGGACACCAAAAGAACACATAATCCAATAAAAAAAATGGAGTACAGACCTAAACAGAGAACTCTCAACAGGAGTCTAAAATGGCTGAAAGATACTTAAGGAAATGTTCAACATCCTTAGTCATCAGAGAAATGCGAATCAAAACAACTCTGAGATTCCATCTTACACCTTAAGAATGGCCAAGATCAAAAACACTGATGACAAC